AATGTAAATAGCTATGGCAAATTACATGAAACATGATTTGTGGAGATGCAGTTCATCAACTTGTGTGATGAACTCGAACTGAATATTCTTTTCGTAACAAAAAAACGCTTCAGAGTCAACTCACTTTCCTATAAACAGAGAAGCCATAAAAACGTGGGACCACTATAATAGCAAACATGTAATTGCTTGTAAAAATATCCAGGGATCAAGTTTGCTTCTTGTTAACTTTCCTCATGGATAGAAGCCACAGTGGTAATGAGGGAACCCAACTTTAAGTTGAGAATAGGGATTTTTCTTTTTTTCTGTTGACTAATAATCAGCTGCTATGATATATAATATATATTTTATTTTCAAATATAAAATGAAGAAACTATGCCCTGGGCTTACATGATCTTTTCTTATATAGTATTCTGAGACTTATTCTTTGTATGGATTCTACCTATTATAAATATGATTTATAAATACATAAATAAGGCCGGGCGCGGTGGCTCAAGCCTGTAATCCCAGCACTTTGGGAGGCCGAGACGGGCGGATCACGAGGTCAGGAGATCGAGACCATCCTGGCTAACCGGTGAACCCCGTCTTACATAACTATTAAAAAAAAAACTAGCGCGGGCGACGGTGGCCGAGTGCCTGTAGTCCAGCTTACTCGGGAGGCTGAGGCCAGGAGAATGCGTGAACCCGGAGGCGGGGCTTTTTGCGTGAGCTGAGATTGGCCCATTGCACTCCAGGCCGTGGGCGACAGGAGCGACTCGTCTCAAAAAAAAAAAAAAAAAATACATAAATAACATACACATGCCCACTGAATAAATAAATGATTTATAAGTATATAAATTTTACACAGGTAGAATCCACATATATATAGCTAACTTATATATAAATTGTGTATGTAAAATTTGTTTTACAAATATATATTAGCTACATAGAGTTTGTTTATGAATGGTCAGTGCTGCCTTACATGGCTCTACCGTAATTTATTTACATCCTGCTTCTTAGCATTTGGGCTTTTGAGCAGATGATTTTTAATTCAGTATTTTCATCTGTAAAATGGTTTTAAATAATATGATCTCCTTCAAGAGCTCTCTTTGTTTTTTAAACTTTCCATTTTTTTCCCCATAATTTGCTTAGGGCTCATGATCAATTCACACTCCTCTCGTTGTGTGTGTGTATAATTGCTATAGATACATGCACATGCTGATATGTATGCACGGGCTTTTATATTAGGGAATATGTATAAGACTTTCTGTATAACACACACATGCCCACTGAAGTCCAGCAAGAGTGTTTGTTTCTGCGAATTGTTCTTTGGTGTTTGCTGCTGGGGCCTCGCCAGCAGGGACCCCCGTTGTTTTCCAGTCTCTGAGCTCCTCCCTGCCTGACCTCCACTCACTGTGGTTTTCAGGGGATGCACAGGAGCTGGTTTTCATTTCTCCACCCTACTTGTTTTCTGAGAAATGCCTCTAAAAGGATCCATTAATTGAGTAGACCCTCCAGCCATCTTGAGGGGATGGAGGAGAAAGGATTGTCTTTGCAGAGTTAGAGACAGCACAAACGGAGAAATCCCAGACATGCCCAAGCCTACAAGCCCAGGATGATGGAGGCCATAGGTAGGTAGAGTGGACCCAAGGTCCTCCTGGTCCTCGTGTCCTGAGGCAGCCCCCTCGCCATTACCGTGTGTGCTTGCGGGGGTTAGTTGGGGTGCCAGGATAGCATCCTTCAGGGAGCTTTTCACAGAGACAACAGTGCCCAAGGTAGCAGAGACCATGAACATCTTAGGGTAAGAAGTATGATCTGAAGATTTGCGGACCCCCAAAATAATTTACGCTACGCAAGCTATTCTTGATATCTTGTCAATGTTGGAGTAGGTAGGTCAGCAAGGGTTGACATGGGTGGCCTTCCATAATGAGTGAGGTTAAATTGATAGCTACTTTGTTTGGGTGGAGTCTCAGAAATTCAAGTTGATGTTAAAATAAGATGATGTGGCATTTCTTGCATAGCAGTTTGTCTAGGGTTTGTGGTCTGAGGGACTGACTGTGACTCCAGGTATGAGAGTTCACACATTGAAAATGTCTGGGGAGACTATGAGAAAGTGTGGAGAGCGGTTGCCTCTGAGGAAGTTAACTGGCTCAGCTAGAAGCTGGAGAGAAGGGGTCCTTACAATCCATCTAAACACCCCTCAGTTGGATTTACATGTCTTACTGTGCACACTATTATTTATATAATGAACACATCATGTTTGTAGAAAAATCTCAAAATTAAAATGAAAATGCATAAAGAAATAAGAGCTAGCATTTTTTTAAGTTCTTACTGTATGTGTTATGAGCCTTCCATGTTTTACTCAGTTGATTTTTCAATAAAATTATGAAGCAGTTGTGATTACTATGACTTTTTTTTCTAATGACGAGTCTGATACACAAAGGGTTTAAACAACTTACACTAAGGTTCAGTTACTGAGCAGCAGAACCAGTATTTAGGGGAGTCCAGCTCCAGAGGCTGTGTTCCTAACTCTAGATGTTAGTGAAAATCAGGCAACATCAAAACACAGAACATTTAACTCTATGTAAATATACGCTGTATATGTTTTCTGAAAATATATTTTTTTTCTTTTTTTGAGATGGAGTCTCACTCTGTCACTTAGGCTGGAGTGCAGTGGCACTATCTCAGCTCACTGCAAGCTCCACCACCCGGGTTCAAGTTGATTCTTCTACCTCAGCCTCCTGTGTATCTGGGATTACAGGTGCCCACCCACCACAAACAGCTAATTTTTTGTATTTTGAGGAGAGATGGGGTCTCACCATCTTGGCCAGGCTGGTGTGGAACTCCTGACCTTAAGTGATCCACCTGCCTTGGTTTCCCAAAGTGCTATGATTACAGGTGTCAGCCCCACTGCCTGGCCTGTTTTCTGATAATATAATTTATGAACAACTATGCTTTGAGTCAAATAATATAAAATTATGTATATGCATAAAGGTCACTTTTATAAGTGATGTGCACTTTGTCTACAACTGTTAGCTTAATATAGTACTCTGAAAACACATTTTCAGAATGTCTTCTACTATTATAATCCCTTACTTTGTTTAAATTCTCAAATGTTATATTAGTTACCTGGTTTGAATGACCTTTTTACCTTTGGATTATTCTTTTGTCAAAGATAATACCTGGCATTGAATTGGCTGTCTCTCAAGGACTGATGGCCATTCACACATTTATGACATCTCACAGGTGGCTATTGAGACTGTTACCAGAGCACTAATTAGGGTGAAATGCAATTATAATTAACGTGGTGTGGTCATTTACAGTGAAATATGACACATGGAAGAATGTTTCCCTTTTAATGGGGCTACTTATGTCTCTTCATAGTCAAGGATGCACAGTGTGGGCACGAGGCTCCTATTCCTGGTACCATAAACCTGATGATGTGTATCTCAATGCTGCTGAAATGAATTTACTGCAATTTGCCCTGTTGGGAAGTGTTTGGTATTTCACTGATGATTTTAGATTCCACCAAAGGCAGCAGCAAATGTAGGTCATGTGGAAAATGTTATAACTCCACCATACTTTCTTGAATAACTGCACAGTCACATGAAAGTTCAATTGAAGGTCAGGTCTAAAACTCCAAATGTCAGGAGGTAGTCAGCACCTGCCTTTGCATTCTAGCTTTAATCTTTGAATGGGATGTAAATATTCATTTTTTATTGTAGTATTTCTTATTAAAAAGGGTCATGAAGTCCCCACCACACCCGTGTATCAGCAAGGAGGGACCTATTTTATGCCCTGTAGCTGAGGACACTCCTGGGTGAGTCCACTCACCACAGGACCCTTTAACATTGTGACCCTTTATCCCACACATTGAAAATGTCTGGGGAGACTATGAGAAAATGTGGAGAGCTGCTGCCTCCGAGGAAGTTAACTGACTCAGCTAGAAGCTGGAGAGAAGGGGTCCTTACAATCCATCTAAACACCCCTCAGTTGGGTTTTCAGCAGTCTCTCAGTTGAGAGAGAGAGCAGCCGTGCTGTGGCGTGTTCACTCACATGGACTCATGACAATATCCCCTACCATGCTTGTCGTTTTAGGATTGGTGGATGCTTTTTTATTATCTCCTTCATTGATTTCATGGGTAATAACTTCTTGTTACATTTTTCAGCTCCTAAAACTATCCTATGATATACACTTGGAAAATAAGAACATACTGCCTGTTTACTCAAATTCAAAAAGTAGAATACATAGAATTCCAAGAGCTCCAGATAAATATTCTCATTTTTACCTATACACATACACATCCATCAGTTCAAATATTTTAAGGAACTCAGTTACTAAGGAAGAAACCAATAGGATATTTAAAAAACTATTTCAAAGGAGAATCCAAAGATCACAAATATATGGACAATCAGAAATACTGAAACAAATTTGCTAATAGATTTAAAAGTAATCAATATCCACAGGACAACAATTAACTGCATCTCTTTCACAGGAAATTCATTTGCATTTCAATGCTTCAGAAATTATTTGCAGTGTTATCAGTTTTCTATAACTTGTAAAGTTGTAAACTGCTCAAAAACAATGACAGGCACAGAGCTTTCATTTCAAATATTTGAATTTAGCTCATAAAATGTATAATTTTAAGTCTTTTCAGATTCATTATATTGTCTTTTCTATGTTTGCTCACATAAAAAAAGCTTTTGAGAAATACCAGGCAATATGATATGGTCAAAAGATCCACACATATGCCCACGTTTCCTAGCTTACACCTAATACTTCACCTCACTCTTTCTTTTGGGATAATCAGAGCACATATAACAGCAAGCCAAGTTTTCAGAAGTTAAACATTCCCATTCACAAAAGCGAGTGTTAGCAGACTTTAAGGAAGTTCCCATCATGATTCCTATTTATCAGCACTGTTTGACTTGTTGATTTTACTTATACCTAACCAATACAGAATGGTCTCTGTCCTCTGTTGGAACGCTAGCTTTAAACTCTGTTAAGAGTGTTCTCGTCCTACCTTGGTAAACAGCTTTAAACCCAGGTGAGCCAATGCTATCATCCGACTGCAGATGTAGCCACATCTGGTTGCTCATGCTCACGATGAGGTCAGGAACACTGGATCCCGTGAGCCTGCATGGAAGAGAAATGTCAAAGCCTTTATGTAAGGCAACAAGTACATCGACTTCCACCTCAAAGGAGGGTCCTGCTGCTTTAAATAGCCAAGCCCTAGAAATACAGATAGCAAGACCCTCTTTCAAAGACTGTACAGCCTCTTGTCCATGATATTAATATTCAAACATCACTATCACTGGAGCTTTACAGAAATTACTCTATTCTAAGACTGCCAATGTGTATATTTTCTTTTAAAAAATCAACTTAGGGCAACCAAGCATCCCATTTTCCTGGAACTGAGGGGCTTCCCCAGGTGCAGGAGTTACAGTGTTAAAACTGGGACAGTCCTGGAAAAAATCAGGGACAGTTGTTCATCTGAGTTGACTAGAGATGTGCACGGTTGCTGCAGGATCGCGCAACACCAGCCATGAAAGAGAAAGCATCTCTATCACAAGAAATTGTACGGGATCATTCACAAAAGGTTTTCATTGTCTAGTCTAGAACTAGTATGTAACTTATCACAAACTCTCCTTTTAAAATATATTATAGGTAATTGCACATTGAAAGAATTTTGAAAAGAACAGCATGCATAGCTGAAATAGATTTGGTAGCATTTATTGAACACTCCCCCTGCATATTAATGTCTGGGTCACACCAAACGTGAGTTTCAATGAAGCATTCATCGTGTATTAACAAAACAGTCACATAGGGCCTGTTGTCAGCCAGTGAAAAGAAACACTGAATCCATTGACTGAACTCAATGTGCTGGCAGAAAAGCATGTTGAAACAGAAAAAGTATAAGAAAAAAACCAAATCAACCAAAACAAATGTCCCTAATCAAATAGGAAGCTTGACTTTCAGCAAAGTAGTTTCAGGAATGTGAGCGTATGATTTGCCCCATTAATCATATGATCTGTCTATCAATCCAACATCCTCACCTAAGGCAGCACAGAGCACTGGATTCTTCAACGGAAGATGAACAACGGTCATTGTGTCTGAAGTAACTCATGCAATGTTACACACAAAGTGAAAAGAGGACAATATTTCTGTGAATGATGTGCAGTAACCAAATATGTATTTCTTTCTGAAGATTTGTCTTTGTTGGCAAGATTGTTCTTTTCGGTTTGCTTGTTTTGTTGGCTCATTTGTTTGAAGAGATATTTTTTCTTTCTTTCTTATTCATACATTTATTGAAGTGTAACAAGCCAAAAAGCGCACAGATCATGAATGTCTAGCTCTGTGAGTTTTTACACAGTGAACCACCACACAGATCAACTCTTAGAGAATTACCAACACCCCAAAGTCTTCTTGTACCTTCTCCCAATCACCATCCTCTCCTCCCATCTTGCCAAACTATCAGTTTTACATCTTCTTGAAAGTTTTTTTGTAAATGAAATCATACTATATATAACATTTTGTTCAACCTTATGTTGGTGAAAGGTATTCATATTATTGTTTGTAGTAGTGTTTCATTTACTTCAATTTCTACACAGAATTTACACTGTCTATAAACACAAGTAGGAGATGATTAATATTTTTAAATTCTTGAAATTTTATTAAGATACTTGTAGACACACATGCGGTAGGTAGCAAAAAATAATATAAAGAGATCACGTGTATTATTTACCTAGTTTCCCCCAATGGTAACATCTTGTACAACTATAACAACTAGGACATTGACATCGATACAATCTACCAGCCTCCTTAAAACTTTCCCTGTTTTATTCCTTTTTTGTGTGTACATTTGTGTATGTAGCTCTGCACAAACACGTCACATGTCTCGGTTCCTGAATCCACAACCATAGTCAATGAAGGGCAGATCCATTCCCTCCAAATTCTCTGGTGCTGTGCCCTTAAAATCACACTGATGCTCCTCTTGCTACACCCCCTTCACTGTCCCTAACCCCTGGCAACCACTAATCTGTCTCCCTCTCTAAATTACTCATTTAAAAAAATCATACAAATGAAATCACAGTGTTTAACAACTTGGGATTTGATTTTATTCACTTAGCTTCATTCCCAGAAGATTTATCTCAGTTTTTGTTTATACCAATAGTTTGTTCCCTTTTATTGCTGGGTCGTATGTCACGTTGTGGATATACCACAGTTTGCTTAACCATCCACCTGGTTAAGGGTATTTGGGCTGATAGTCATTTTGGCAGATGACACTCAGAGCTGCTATGAACATGTCTGTGCAGGTTTTTGTGTGAGCATAAATCTTCATTTACCTGAGATAAAAGCCCAAGAGTGCAACAGCTGCATTGTATAATCACGTTTAGTGTTTAAAGAAACTACCAAGTTTTTCCCCAGACTGGTTGTACATTCCCACCAGCAATGTGTGAGCACTCCAGATTCTCTGTATTCTCAATAGGCATTTGCTGTTGTCAGCATTTTTTATGCTTCTCTAATAGCTATGTGCATTTAACTAATCGGTAATGATGTGAAACATTGTCTCATGTGTTTATTTGCCATTAATACATCTTCTTTAATGAGAGGTCTCTCTTCTTCCTTTTAAATATTGAAAACTCTCTTGATATATTGTGGTGTAGATACCAGTCCTTGTCAGAAATTAGCAGTTTTGATTTAAATATAGTCAATTTTGGTAAGGGTTCCTCATGCAATTACAACAAATTATATTCTGTAAGTATTGGTTGCAGGGCTTTCTCTATATCAAATTTGGAATCTGGCTTAGTTCCTTCCCTTCCCTTCCCTTCCCCTTCTCCTTCCTTCCTTCCTTCCTTCCTTCCTTCCTTCCTTCCCTCCCTCCTTCTTCCTCTCTCTCTCCTTCCTTCCCTCCTCCCTCCTTCTTCCTCTCCCCTCCCTCCCTCCCTTCCTTCCTTCCTTCCCTCCTTCCTTCCCTACCTCCCTCCCTCCTTCTTCCTCTCCCCTTCCTTCCTTCCCTCCCTCCTTCTTCCTCTCTCTTCCTTCCTTCCTTCCCTCCCTCCTTCTTCCTCTCTCTCTCCTTCCTTCCCTCCTTCTTCCTCTCTCCTTCCTTGCCTCCTCCCTCCCTTCTTCCTCTCTCTCCTTCCTTCCTTCCTTCTTTCCTTCCTTCCTTCCTTCCTTCCTTCTTTCCTTCCTTCAATGACTTCTGTTACTATTCCCTAAGGTAAATGATTATATAAAGGAAAAATATGTATCTTAAGTCCAATTCATGGTTCTGGGTAGAAGGAAGAGGAAAGAAAATGTACCATTTAAATATTATACAGTTAAAGAAGAATGTGTGCACCGCCGTTAATTTTTCCCTACATGTTAATATACACAGGGCACGTGGTTCACATGGAAAATGTTTTTCCCTTCTCCCTTTGGGCTTAGAGGTGGTGTCAGCACCTTTCTGATCTGTGCTTCCCACTCCCACTCGCTTCTCTCTTGTTACACCCCTTTGACTTCGAGACTTATGCCACCATGCAACATGCAACATGACTTACTGCCGTCCATCATCGTCCTCTCCCTTCCTGTAGCCCCTGGCTTATTGTCACTGCTCCCTGTGGGCAGTCTGATAATTCTGGTAAAGTAACTCATGGATCCTCGGCTCTTTAACCCAATAACTTTTCTCTCCACTCCATTGCAAGGTATGACATCAAGGTGCAAGGTATGAAATCACTGGTCATACCTTGCACCTTGCTACTCTTTATAACAAACTTAGGCACCTAACCCCTCTTTCTGACCACACTGCAGTATCTTTTAACTATCATAAGTGTGTACTTTCTGAAATACACTTCCCAATTCTTGGGGACCACTACTAATGATTTTGTCACTTTTTTACCCAGCCTGGACAACATGATTGTTACTCTGCTCTTCTGTCTTTCCAGCCCCTTAATTGTGTTAAAATCTACTTCCAATTCATCCCATCTCTGACAAAACCCAAACTCGAGATGGATCCAACCATCCATTCTATATCTTCCCATATGTGTGCACAAGAAAGATGATGAAGAACTTGCTGATGCATACTGATAAATATTTATGATTTCCATACTCAAACTAGTCACACGGTGCCACATTTTTTTCCTGAATTATAGTCAGTGTATTTTTCCTATTGCCATTTGTTATTGTCCTAAGTCATCACCATTTTCCTCAAGCCTATTCCCAGCCCTTATTTCTTCTGTTCTCAGTGGATAACTTTATTCATAAGTATAAGGGGAAAAACATTGAAGGCAGTCAAAACATGAAATACCTGCCTCTCAAAATCTCCTGGTTTTCTTTTTATTCTTTTCATGTCACCAGTCATCAGCCACTGGAAGTAACTGTTGGGGGAGTTTATTTGCCTTGTATTTCTTTGATGTTTTTTGCACCATTGTTTTCTCCCATTTCCAACCTCTCGGTTGAACACTGACTATCTCACACCCACCCCACCGAAGTAGGCTCCTAACTCTGTCTCCTGATTCTGGCATTTTATCTCCCCTAGACATTCGACTTGATTTTAACTTATTAAAAACTTAATTGTCATGTAGAAAATTATTACACATTGAAAAGACTCATACTGTCTATCCAACTACTTTAGACATACCTCTAAATCAATATATTTAATTTCCTAAGTTCTGTACTGAACTTTGCTTTAATTTAATCTTATGTTACTTTGTTCATTTGCATGAAACAGTCAGCAAGCACACTGCCATATTCCGCACAAAGTTCATTCAATCAAATGTCAAATCAGGTTTATGGTTATTACTCATTTTGGAATTTATTTTAAGCCTGCTATGTGACAGTTATATTTATGAGAAGAACTGTAATTATAGCTTATTATAGTTATTTTAAAGCTAATTAACTTACAAAAATTACACACCGTAAAAAACCACTTTTTTATTTATTTTTAAATTTTTATAAGTTATTTTATAATTATTTAAAACAAAAGAACTTTTGTTCCTCTTTCAGGTTTCCAGAACTATTTTGGCTTGCTAACACTGAGAAATGATTTCTTTAAAACAAAGAAGCAAGCAATATTGTTGCCCTTTGCAACTGCTTATCTGTTTGAAACAGGATTTTCAAAATAATAATTTCTAACTAAAAAACAAAATCGATGCGGGCTTTGATTAAATACAGTAGGTGCTCAAATAAAGTCATTTTGTTCAATGTCATTTCATTATAATATTGATGAAGGAAATAGATTCCTAGCAGGGGTGGCATCTGTATGGGTGTATCAGTCTACTCTCACACTGCTGTAAATATATTATCCAAGACCGAGAAACAGGGTAATTTATAAAGAAAGGAGGTTTAACTGACTCATAGTTCCACATGGCTAGGGGGGCCTCAGGAAACTTACAATCATGGTAGAGGGTGAAAGGGAAGCAAGGCACATCTTACATGGCAGCAGGAGAGAGCATGTGAAGGAGGAATTGTCAAACACATACAAAACCAGCAGATCTGGTGAAAACTCCTTCACCATCATGAGAACAGCTTGGGGGAAATGGCCCCCATGATCCAATCACCTCCCACCAGGTCCCTCCCTCATACATGGGGATTATGGGTATTACAATTTGAGATGAGATTTGGGTGGGGACACAGAGCCAAACCGTATCAATGGGGTTGGCATGTTCCTCATGTCTGCCTGGATTTGCTCCCAGGTTTTCTCCCACATCCCAAAGCTGTGCATGTGAGGTTTATTGGCATTAGCTAATGAGCTGGTTGGAAAAAGAATGAATGAATGAATATAAATTGTTGTCAAATAAAAATGTGTCAAGTATATGATAATCATACAAATGCAGGACAATACACAATGCAATAGGAAAGTGCTCAGGGAGCTGTCACATATGTAAATGTTTTCGACCTCTGCTGGAGGAGGAGGTTTTCCTGACAATGTTCTCTTGGCAAAAAAAAATTTATGTATCCCTTGATGTAACCAAACTCCACCCCTAAGACTGTTACTCATTCATCCACCAAAAATTAGGTAAACAGTAATCTTACTTGTGTTCATTAATCTTTCTTAAAAGTGTGTATAGCTCAAATTTATTTAAATGTTTAATATTAGGAGTGTTTTGTTCTTTATGCAGAAGTTTGGTGATGCTTTTTGTGAGCAGAAATATGCTGTAGGAACTTAACTCTTGTTTATATCGATTAGCCTAAGGGGAAATGCGTTTTGTTATACAGAGTTTTACTTGAAGTCACAGTTTCCAAAGACCTATTAATGATGTTAAGTGGGAACTTATTATACTTTAACATTCATCATAACATATAGTTACATAATTAGTCTTGTTTTCTTTAACACAGCTCAATTTTTCCCCAAGTTGGCTCTATGGTACATATTGTTCTGATTTAAACTTAAAAATAAAGTTATCCTAATGAAATACTAAATAATCGATCTATTTTTGATAGAAGAAAATATAATTTTATTTTGGAGAAATAAGTCATCATATTGTAGCAGTCTGCTTTTTTGCCCCCAAGCCCTGCAGTCCAAAACTCTGTCATCTCCCAGGTGTGTTCCGCTCCAGCCATATTTATTTTTCCTCATTCTCCAAAATGATGTCATTTCTCAGTTCCCAGGGCTTTGCAAACCCTGAAATCCCTGGATGGAATGTCAATTCTTCCTGCTGAGAGTCTTTGAAGACTCTGAGGATTCTCACTGGGCATTTCTTACCCTCTTAAGCCAGATTAGGACTTTTTGCCTCTAAGTCATCGTAGAATCCTTCATGCAATTCAGTTTCATAGACATCTGCTTCAACCTCCACCTTCTTTCAAATTCTGAGCTCTCTGGGTACAATTTTACATCTCTTGGCCACTTTATCCCTAGTCGCTAGTAAATAACATACACATTTTAAAAATAAATCAATCAATAAAAATATAAATTAAATCTATATTGTATTCATTATACAGTTACATGTTTAAATTTTATAGGAATATTTCCAAATAATGATTTAAATCTTAGTGGTATTTTAGGCAGCACACCAAGGGCTTAACATTTGGAGTTCTGTTACGGCTCTGTCATTAATTCACCTGTGATTTCAGCTAAATCATTTTATCTCTATTCCAGGTTCCTCATCTACGAAACAAGAAAATTGTATTAATCTACCTAGAAGGAATTCCTCAGATCTAAAATTCTATGATCTTTTGCATAGATTTCAGTGACGATACTGCTGTCTCACATTGACATGTCTGGGTGCAGTCAGTATCAATGTTGAACTGAAATCAGCAGTGATTATGACTCTAATTTCAAGTATGTGAAGTGGTTAACCAGAAATGAAGGAAATGACATTTGATTATGTATTTGTTCCTGTCTTACAATTAGGGCACTTTGTGAGTACATTTAACTCTTTGACAGTGTAACTAAACTCTTTCCAATGCAAATGTGTCATTGTTCTTGAAAGCTTAATGACAACCATAAGATACAGTAACTTCATGACGCTTTGGTTACTTGCGATTTTACTGTGTAGACAAGAACAATCTCATCTCTGAACAAATCTTCCCTTTGGACCTTGCTAAATGGTTCAATAGTTCTATTCTAATCTACGTGAAAAACATGTGTTAAGGGCTGGGTGTGGTGACTCATGCCTGTAATCCCAGCACTTTACGAGCCTAAGGTGGGAGGACCACTTGAGTCCAGGAGTTCAACATAGCCAGGCCTTGGCTCAACCAAAAAACAAAAACAAAGCAACAGATGGATAAAACCTAACCCTGACTCTGAAATCTTTCATCAGCATGACCCAGTAAAATTCCCATGTTGTTGTGTGTATCAATTGCTTGTTTTTGGGAGCACTGAGTATAATTCTTTTGTAAGAATAGACATGTGTTTTTCCAGTTCCCTGTCAAAGAATATTTACAATGTTTCTATTTTGGCAATTATGAATAGAGTTACTATAAACATTCATGTGGTCTAAATTTTATTTTTCTAGGGTAAATACTTAGGAGTGGAATTTCTGGGTCATATGATTGATGTATATTTAGCCTCATATGAAACTACCAACCTATTTTTCAGGATGCTGTACTGCTTGGCTTTTCCGCTTGCAATCTCAAAGGTTACATAGAACATATACTCATTGGTGTGACATTCTCAAAAAGACAAAGTTACAAGGATAAATAATGAATCAGCCAGGTGCGGTGGCTTACTCCTGTAATCCCAGCACTTTTCTGAGGCCAAGGCGGGCAGATTACTTGAGGTCAGGGGCTCGAGACCAGCCTGGCCAACATGGTGAAACTCCATCTCTACTAAAAATATGAAAATTAGTCAGGTTTGGTGGCAGGCTTCTGTAATCCCAGCTACTTGGGAGGCTGAGGCAAGGGAATGGCTTGAACCTGGGAAGCGGAGGTTTGAGCCAAGATTGTGTCACTGCACTCCAGCCTGGGCAACAGAGCGAGACTACATCTCCAAAAAAAAAAAAAAAAGGGAATCAGTAAGTAGTTCAGGGTTTAAGGTGGGGGAGCCTGTCACCACACCACAAAGGGATACTGCCGTATTTTGAAGTGAAGGGAATGTTCTATGTTCTGATTTTGCTGGTGGTTATACAAATCTATACATGTATTTACAGTCATAGATCTGCACACACAAAAAGTTCTGCTTTACTGTATATACTTTACTGAATAATTTGTTCAGACCTGAAGAATAATTCTGCATGTATCACAAAGCTGTCAAAATACAACACTGATGCAACGTAGCACCTTAGCACCTGCAATATGAGACGCCTGGATTTTATGGGCATGTACATGAATTTAAAAAAAGGGGGATGTGCTAAGCCTCTAATATACTGATTACAATTGTAAAATGGTCAATGGAAAAGTAAAGCCTGCCCTTAAGATAAAAACTTGCCTAAAACTGAACTACTTTGAAATCTTTATGTTCCTTTAATGTCCATGAATGGCATAAATCATTCAGAACGTGGAGAAAACACAGTTACTTAACTGTATGATTTAATTGACTACTTGCCTTAATTGGGTAGATACAGGGTAAGCTGGAGATTAATAAGGATAAGTAAAGACACGGTACTATCTGTTCAGGCACCTGGGTACCTGGGCAGAGTCGTTCCTCTTGAGGATGCAGTAAAACACCAGTAATGAGTTTCAGAGATGTGTTGATAAATATCTCCGGTACAAATTGGCAGGTGCGAAGCAGCCAGGGGCAGAGGTAGAAGTCAACTCGGTTGTTTGATAAGCCAAGCCAGAAGGCATTTAAGCTCTGGAAGGCCATATTTGCACTCTTGGGTCTCTCACATATCTTCCGATACAGTACTGAGCGGGCACTGAGAGCAAGTAAAGTGAGTTACAGGTTCTCCACCTACCCAGCACCTAGCCGGGCTCCCAGGACACAGCAGTGACTGATTCCATGTTCATTTACATGATGTGTACCACTGCAGAGGGCCAGGACAGGAGGAAAGGAGCAGGAATCTGACTGATAAACCAACCTGACTGAAAAATAAGTCAAGGGAATGCTTTTATTGAATAAATAATCATATTAAATACAATGTTAAAACGGAAGGCAACTCATAGATACACTGAAGTTATTATCATTTCCCCACGTGTATCAACATGAAATTAGAACAAGCTTTCGATTTCATTTACTTTGACTCATGCACCCACCTCATTCAAGTATGGCAGACTTTATTTACTGTGCTGAAATCCATTACAGCCAGGTGGCATAGAAGGTGATCTGACTTATACCAGTCATTTGCAATCGCTATTTTAAATCCACTAAACATTATCAGAATTGGAAATTGTTTATGTGTGGAACTGCATGAAAAAGATCTAATCCAAACCTCATGATCCTGCAGATCAAAGGGGAAAATAAAAGTTGACCGAAGCCCAAAGTGATGGGACTTTACAGAGTCCCTTTACTGAGTGCAGCCCACACTATTTAAACGTATACGGACTGCCAGTCCTCATGGCATGGAGATACTTTCTTCCACCCCCCATCCATGTAAAACACAAGTATCAGGCCTGGTAACGGCACAAGAAGCTACCAGAAGACACTACTAAAAAGTGATAGGAGAAAGACAAGCTGACCTGGGACTCAGGACCAGAGAAACAGCAGAGCATGGGGTGACTTGTGGGCTACCACAAACAGAAGGCCACTGGACCTGCTGTTTTGCACCCCTGACCAGGCAACAGAAGGACTCCAGCAAGCCCATTCCTTCTCCAGATGCAACTGGGACCCGTCTGACTACCAGACAGGCAGCACCACACACAGAAAATGGACATGAAAGCCACACCAACAACAAGTATCCAAGGAAGGCTTCACATTCCTTGGGGTCCCAGGGCTGTCTTGTCAAAGGAAAATACCTAAGAAGGCAGAACCTGCAAGGGGGGTGCAGCTATGTAAGTGATCTCACCTAGGAAGGCCCTTCGTCCCTATAGGTCTGAGACTAGGTCTCCTCCCCACCCAGACGCAGGGGCAGAGGGGGTGGAATAGATGAGGGGGCACTGGAAAGAGAGGTCCCTCCGACCTCCCTCATCTGCTCATAAACGTCTCCCCCAGCCCAACCCACCCCATGCATGCCAAGCCTGGGAAATCCTTCTGCCCCCTCAGCCAGCACCAGCAGAGAGCAGTGGAGCCTCCTTGGGCACTAAATCCACTGAGCAGATCAAAGTAAAACCTTGAAGGCTCTGATAGTCAAATTATCATTGGAATCTCCTCCCCTGCCCACAAAATAGGCTGAGATCCACATGCCAAGCCTAAACAAGGTGCTTACTTGCTAAAATACTAGGTGGATACAAAAGCAATTGCAGTCTTTGCCATTATTTTTTTTTTATTATTTATTTATTTTTTTGAGACAAAGTTTCACTCTTGTTGCCCAGGCTGGAGTGCAGTGGCATGATCTCGGCTCACCGCAACCTCCGCCTCCCAGGTTCAAGTGATTCTCCTGCCTCAGCATCCCAAGTAACTGGGATTACAGGCATGCACCACCAGCCCAGCTAATTTTGTATTTTTGGTAGAGACTGGGTTTCTCCTTGTTGGTCATGCTGGTCTTGAACTCCCAATCTCAGGCGATCCACCCACCTCGGCCTCCCAAAGTGCTGGGATTACAGGTGTGAACCACTGCGCCTGGCCTGCCATTACTTTCAATGGCAAAAACCACAACTGCTTTTTTCATCAACCCAATGAAAGATGTAAGTAGTACTGTAGCAATATATAACATGAAAAACAGAAAGGCCGGAGACAATCATCACACCAAGAGCCAAGGAAATCATGGCTTAAAGTGATGAAAGACAATCAGTAACCCCAACTGAAATGAATCAGAGGTTGGATTTAAAGCCAGGTCTCTTAAAAATGGTTCAGTGATGTTTACAAATTATCTGCAAACAAATGAAAAAAATCTAAGTAAACAAATAAGTATAAAAATGAGCTAAAGGAAATTATAGAACTAAAAACACAATAATGAAGACTAAAGAATTGCTACATTTGCTTATATTAAAATTGAAATGAGCAATAATGAGATCAGTGAACTTGAGATTAAGTGATTCTCCTACATGAACAACAGAAGAGAAACAGACAAAAATTGAAAAGAGGCTGGGCCGCAGTGGCTCACCACCTGTAATCCCGCTCTTTGGGAGGTTGAGGTGGGAGGATTGCATGAGCTCAGGAATTCAAGACCAGCCAGGGCACACAGTGAAATCTCTATTAAAATACAAAAAAAAAAAAAATAGCAGGTGGTGGTGCATGCCACCTGTAGTCCCAGCTACTCAGGAGTTGAGGGCAGGAGAATTGCTGAACACCGAGGCGAGGTTGCAGTGAGCTGGAATCGTGGCCAACTCCAGCCTCCTGGAGCAATGGAAGCAAGACTCTGTCTCAAAAAATAAAAATAACAAGGAAAAAGGAATAAACTTCCCAGAGGCCTGTGGGAGACACAAAAAAAAAAAAAAAAAAAATCCAACTATATTTTTTC